TTGGAGACTAGCCTAGTGAGACTGGCATTGCTTTTGACTTCTCTCTCAAATCTCCTCACCAAGTTAAGGTGAGCATCCAAGAGAGGAGAATGAAATGATAGTGGTTAACATGCATCTGGAGAAGGAACTTCTTAGTTCATATTTAAGCCTCTGTGGAGGCAGGATTGTTCCTTTGGGAAGTAATTGCTGGCTTATGGAAAAGCAGTGTAGCAGAGACTGGACAGCAATGTATCAATCTCAATACAAAAGGCAGCAGTAAAGATAGGTGTTCATCATTCTAATGCTGGGCTTGTTAACACACTTTTTTCTGGATATGTAAACACAGAAACAATTACCTGGCAAAGTATGCACATAAAGTTAATCATTATTATACCCACATTGCAAGAGGTGGGACTATAAATGAGAAAATATGGGTTACAATCACCTTGTGAACTGGCAATCATCAATGTAGTTATTAGCATAGTGTGTGTGTGTGTGTGTGTGTGTGTAGGGGGGGTCTTTTGTATTAGAATAGGAATGTGATGCTAAACATACACACAAAATGCACAACACTTTTATACTGCCTAATTGTTATACTTCCTGATTTGTACATTTTTATACAGTCTAATAGCTAAGGCACTCAGCCAGTTCACAGCAGTTTAAACATAAAATACAACAGCATGACAAAACATAATATTAAACTTTAAAACACTTAAAATTACAGTATAATACCTAAGCAAGAACTGGTAACAATGTAAAGATCTAAAACTGCAGTAACAGATTTAAAACAGTAAAAACTGTTGAACTAAAATGTCTGGGAAAATAAAAAGGGTTCTATCCAACACCAAAAAGAGCAAAATGTAAAGAGCACCATCCACAAAGTCTCTCTGTGGAGGGAACTTCACACCAAAAAAGGCCTTCTTGTCAGCCAGTTGCCTCACTTAATTTGGCACTGGCAGCCAGAGGAGGATCTCTGAAGTCAATCCTAGGATTTGAGCAAGTATTTATGAGAGGAAATTGTCCTTCAAATAACCTGGCTGACCCCAAGCCATTTAGGACTGAATGTTAATATACCATTTCTTTGAACTGAGCTAGACATGCACTGGATGCCAGTGCAAAGCACTGTCATAATATATTGATATCACAGCAGTTCCTGTTTACAGTCTTGCTGCTCCAGCTATAACACAGTGCAATAATCTTGCTGAGAAAGTATTAAAGCATGGATAACAGGCTACCTCTCTTCAGACAAGAGTGTAATTTATCCATTTAAGCTGATAAAGTACCAGTGCCCCTGGATTCCCTACCTCTTAGATGAAATAAGTTAAGAAGTGCCAGTGTCGGGCACACTAATGGTCAACTGGAGATTTGAGCATCTTTATTTTCAGTGTGTCACACAAACTCATCATAACATACTACTGAGGGTTCTTGCATCTCTTTTTCTGGCTCAGATTGTAGTAGACTGTGAATTTCTTAGAAAAGCTCTCCTGGATGATACTAAGAAGATGCAATGGTGGTGGAAAATAATTCTCTTTTCCACTATCACGGCAACAGGGTAAACTCACTAATGAGCTCTAGCCTGTTTTTGGTCAGAATTAGCATGAGTGTTCCTCTATATTCTGTTTAAAATGTATACCAAGGTGCTGCCCAGGTTCTGCTTAGAAGGAGAGGACACCAAGACATGACTGTGTCAACCACCTGAGTCACCCTTTCATTCCACAAAATGACCAAGTCTTTGAGAGGGGAACTAGCTATACCAATTGAAAAATCCCCCAGAGCTTTCTCCAATTCATTTTAAGATCTCTCCATCTTGCAAAGGGGAAAGGTTGCTGAAAATCTAAACTTCTATAGGAAGTGGTCCAACCACGAGGCAGATGTTAATCCTCCTCCTTTCATATCACCATTCTCCGGACCAGTCAGGTGTATATCATCTTACAAATACTGAACTTTAAACATGTTGATTCAGCTTCATGATTGTCATGATGGCCCTGAAGTCCTAAGCCATCCCAAATCTGGCAGTCTCCAGAACCATAACCCCAGGTGTGTTCAACATCAAGTGTTAGACCACCTCTGTCAAGTCAGGTAGGGAAACTGAGGGTGGACAATACACTAGCAAAATCCCTAATCTGTACTGGATAGCACAAGATACAAACACTCGGGTAGCTCACAAAGGGAGTTAGAATTCTTAGGGACCATCCCCAAACCTCAAGTCTGTATTGGTACTCATCAAATACCCAGGAGGGCACAACTGGGAAAAATGTACCCTCTCAGCTGCCCCATTTAAGTCTCTCTCAAATCCTGAATGAGGGAGATTTTGTTTATGAGCAGCACTCCAGTGCATGCGGCCCACTTGCTCCTGTTTGGTTCCTTGTACAAGCAGGTGCAGCTAAACAAAGCATATAAACAAACTGGAGTCCTAAGCTTACAAAATACCTGATTGATTAGTTTGGGGAAGATGAAGGGACTGTGGTTTGTTCATTCACTTCTGCTTGCAGAAGAAACTAGGTGAGCACAATCAGTTCGCACTAGCACCCTTTGATTATAAAATCATCTGAACACAGCATGCAGTGACACTGTGTGAATGTATTATGTATTGTCAGTCATTGTAGGCATTCCTAATGTAAATGTGAGACACCAGTTTAGCAAATTAATGACAAATAATTGTTTCGCCTTCAGTACATTGTTCCTTCATACAGTAGTTCTTGAATTTATTATTATTATTATTATTTATTGCTTGCTTGCTTGTTTTATTTTAATTAAAACCTCCTGTTGATACTGTATAACATCACTGGACAAAAAGGAAAGGTGGCAGCAGTTTTACTTGTTATCTTCTGGCCAGATATAAGCTTTATTCTTCTGTAGGCGAAGCCAGAAATCTATTCCTTAATGCCCTCCAACTACATTAACATTTAAAGGTAATTTAGATGTTTATCTGAAAACATCTCTCCGTCCCCCTGCCCCTGCCCCTGCCCCTGTCATCTCTCTCTCTCTCTCTCTCTCTCTCTCCCTCTCCCTCTCCCTCCCTCCCTCCCTCCCATAATTGAGCCTTGGATGTTTGCTACAAATTGTGTGATGACTGAAATGAAGGAAAAAAATACCAAAATAATTTTAGAAGTATAATTTCTGTTCAAAGCCTAGCAGGCAATGGCAATAGTTTCAGAACAATATTCTAACTGGAGAGCAGAGAAAATGACTCAGGCCTTCCTAGCAATTCAGTGCCAGATACTTTTGTTTCTGAAACTCTGAAACTTGCCATAACTTAAGTAGCTTACAAGATTATTATACATAATGGCAACATTTTTATTGCTTTACTGCAGTAAACATATTGTTAGAACTGACAATTGGTTTTGACAATACCTTGCTTCAATACAGATGTTAAAGCATGTTTTAACAGAGCTAAAATCCAGTTATTTGAGATCTACAATACAGTTGTAAGTATTAATTCTGTAGGACATTTCCTAAGTAAATGCCCATTGATAACAAAAAATCAAAAAAGGAAACCTCCCAGTGTTGTAGAGGCAAACAAAGAGCAAGAGCAGGTTCCCAGAACCTGCCTGTATTTAATCTTGGTCCAGGATAGGAGATAGTTCTTTTCTACTCTCTGGGATTTCTCTGGCGTTGAAAGACGACTGCATGAGCATCTGTAGGCATGTTCTTGGGTTGCAAAATAGTATTCAGAATCTTATTCTCTGTTCTAAAGTAGGTTATGATTTCTGTCTAGATCTGTGGAACATTTTTCCTGGGCCAAGATGAAGCAGTGAACAGCATGTCAGGCTTTCTCATTGCAGATATTCAGCTGGTGTACATATGTTTAAAAGTTGACTAATTACATAATGTTGAGACACAGTGCAATAGAGCATGACACAAATGTGCAGAGCCTGAAACCAGTGCCTCATGCTGGACCATCTTTCCCCTCAGAGGATGACAGATTAATAACAGGAACAGCTGAAACTGCCAAAGAATTGACTTGAGGGCAATCAAGGGCTGCAATGATTCATTAGTTATGCTTGTTTTGAACAACACATTTCTCGCTAATGTGGCCTAAATATGAAGCAAGCCAAATACTCTGTACTTCAGTTCTAGTGCCAAGAGCAATTTTTCAAATGGCTGTATAAAAGACAGGAAAAAAGGAAAAATACAGCATAGCTTGTAATATTTAAGTTAAATACAAAATTGGGTCAGTGCGAAATATATATTCTTTTCTTGCTAGCAATATTCTGCATGTAAACACCATTTCCCTCATAGTGTCAAAAAAACAAGTTTGGGAAGAAAAACAATGAAATCAGTATTTTTCCAAAAATAAATAAAATGATGCTATTTCCTCCCTCATTCCAAAATGAATTTACTGTAGTAAAAATTGAGGGGGGGGATTCACCTTTGAGTGAGAAATATGCTATTAACCAGGATTTGCATATTGTCCAATTCTTAATACATATGGAGAAGAAGGACTTTGCAAAACCATTGTTGAGAGATGGGATTACTTTGAAGGAATGAAACCACACAGGGAACACCTGCCAATCAAAGATTAATAAGCATGGGAGCGAACTAAGAAAACCCTAAATTAAGTGAAGGTACAATTTTGAAGGCAATTCCAAAAAGTTTTGGAAAATGTACAGCATATCATTATTGCAATTCTTCTCAGTAATTTAGAAAATGGGATGAAATAAATGGTGCTTGGAATCAAATAACCATTTATACATCACTTGTAAGGTTTTGCCATCATTTGGGGGCTATTTTCATGACCCTATAAGGTAGGTTTCTCTTATATATGTTGCGTTCATTTTGAATAGAATGTAAAGTGCCTCCCCACCCACGGCAACTTAGAATCTGTTAGTAAGATTCCATCTTAGCAGGTCTGTATTTGACTGCCTCCATTACACCACACTGCATCTTCAATGATACATCTAATGCTTCTCTAACATTGGACTCATTGTCAATATGATGAACATTTATCTGCTTAGCCACATATTTATTTTGAATAAATACATTGAAATTATGTTTTTAAAACCTTTGCTTTCATGCAGGCATGTTACAGGAAAGTTTCCTGACTACCCTGATGAAGAACAAGGTGGCTCAGCAGCACTTTTCTCTGAGAAAACTCCAGAGGAGGTAGAATTCGTTTCAGTATGAAAACCTAACACTAACAAAAGGTCCCAGACATACATGTTCACGCTTTTTCAGAAAATAAAAGGACAAAAATATAGTTGGAAAGGCTTAAACTGATATCATATATAATTCCACACACGCACACGCGCACACACAATTCCATATATATGGAAGAACAAGGGTGGGGAGAGGGGAGGCTGCATTGCATTTATGCTCTTGGGCAAGGCAGAGAGAGAGAGGGAGAGAGACTAGAGGGCAGGGGCAAGGTAAGCTAATAGTACAAGGTTAGCGTACACTGAGAGAGAGAAACAGAGTGAAAATGGAAAAAAGCTACAATATATAGTCATGTATAACTGAGATGAAAAAATGTGGGATGTAATGACAGAAATAGTATGGGAAGTTGGCTTCAGGCATGCATCATGTGACATGCCAGTAAGTCAGGCATTACAATGCCATTAACCTGCCCCCCCCACACACACACAAATCAGATGGTTGTAGTCTATTGAAGCCCAGTGATCAACAAATGCATGTAAGCTGCTGTATTTACTTTGCTTGACAATAGAGCTTCTTCACTTTTGACATGTAGTAGTCAACTGATTCTGTATATAGATTTGTTCCATTTTATAGGATGTTAAAATCTCATGTCTTAAAATCAGAGTTATCTGAAGGTACATAAAATTCAAAAGGAACTTTTTTAATGCCGTGTAGCATTTCATTTTGGAAATTTGGGGGGAGTAGAAGGGTTCCATTGATTTTAGATCAATTAGAAAGTCAAATTAGTCACCTGAACATGCTACATTCTCCAGCAGAATGTACCAAGTTTGGTTACTAGATCAAATAATTATAGAAGTCTGGAGAATAAAGTTACATTGATTAAACGAACATAAAAGTGACTTTATGGGAAAACATCAAAACATACCCTAAGGCATCAGACATCAAAGAGTATATGTGTCCAGTCTTCTTTTTAAGAAAGAATTTAAATTATAGTTTGAAGAGTCTTGTTTGTTTGCAGTGTTCCCCAACAGTGTTCATTACAAAATGGGATATTACTTTTGCTACATGGTTCCAACTACAGTAATTGTTAAACAAAACAGTTGCAGGATTGCTTTTCACTGACAGGTTTATAGACGAATTAAGAGTTTTACTACATAGTGTGGCAGACCAAGGAAAGTGATATTCCAGAAGTATATCTGCAAAGCTATGCTTAGAAAATGAATAATGTTGCACACTAATTTTAGCATTTCTTACTCTGATTTTGAGATACCGTTTTTCAGTCATAATTTTACACAGAAACAAAACAGATTTTGAGCCAGAGTGAACAGAATGGTTATAATGTAACAAAAAGAATGCTTCTTTTGAGCCTTTAAGAATGTACAGCAGCATTCATATGCATCTTTTTTCCAGTTTCCAATCTAGCAATCATGTTTGACAGAATTCAACAGAGTGCTTTGCTGACACACTTTCAAGTAAAAACATATCCTGATATTTTTTATTATTTTTGTTGAGGTATAAACTAAGGTTATTTCTTTATTTCTTCAATTTTTATTTTACTTTTTTATTTAAGTTTTTGCTATAAACCTGTACAATAGTGCTTCTTTTTAGAATTTTTTGTTGCAACTGTCTACATTATAGACAGAATTATATGTTAAGATTATTTTGCAAATATAACAAGCTAGATAATTACTTTTTAGAGGATAAAATAATAATTCTAATACTTAAATTTCCCATCAGATCATCACTGGCCAGCTACCCTTTCTGCTTAATTTCACTTTCCTTGAAGGAAGTCCAGGATAAAAATGAAATACATTCTTATCAGTTACCTTCCTCTCAAACTACAAAAGCAACACACTGCAGGAGGGAAAAGCAGAAGGTAGATGTTTTGGATTTCAACACCCAGCATTCTTGGCCATTGGCCATGTTGGCAGAGGCTGCTGGAAAACCGAGTCCAAAACACCTGGAAGTGTGCCCTTTGCTCCTCTCTTCTGTATGCCGACATCTTTACTAGTGCAGTCCTAGCCACTGCTGTGCTCAATGAAGTAAGCTTCCAGTTTAGGAATGCAGCCTAAATTTTCATTGTTAGCTGTAATCCAAAAATGAAAAGGGAATGTGGTTTGTTCATTTGTTTTTAATTCAAGAAACATAAGTAACAGGAAACTGATAATGAATCCAATAGTGGCAGGGAGAATAATCAATGTTAAATTTTGAAAATGATAAGGTTACTTTTTTGCAAGAGTAGTTCTATCATTATGTTCCCTGTTGCAATTCAAATAATAGCAATGAGTCATTACAGAAATGTAAATATTTAATGAATATTTATAATAGCCTTCACTTTCATCTTTATATTATCTTGAATAAATCTTCCCTTCCAATAACCTTATAAACAATGTCCAAGATTTGAAAAAGATCTTTTTTCCCCCTTAATGAAGTGTGTTAAGTTGTTTGGTGGTTGGGTCTAAGGTTTTTTGCTTGTTTTTAATGTTTTGTTATATATGTAAAGGACAGGCGCTAAATGTATAATCTTTGGTTCCTTGAAAGTCATTTTATTTATTAGATGTATTTCTTCATCATGGTCTGTGTGCATCACACATAATTGTTCTGTGCCTGTGCAGTGTCTGTATTCAGGAAGATTCTCTCAGCTCTAAGGGTTTTTTTGGCGGGAGCCCTGTCTCCCCTCCTCCCTCCATATAAATAGGCGGGATTCCCACCCTTCATCAGGTCACTTTCAACTGCCGTTCACTGTGCCTTGGGTCTCTTATTGCTCTTGTTTTCCTCTCATTCTCTTAGAATTTTAGCTAATTTCTCCTGTTTTCTATACTTAACCACCCCATACACTTACTTTTTATACTTGTTCTCTCTCATATTAATTCTCCTCCCTTTTTTCCACACAATCCCCTCCCTGTCTCAATTCCCTCACAATAAATTAAAAAAAACTTCTATCATTCTTCTCTTAACCCATCATTTCTTTTTCTCCTTGATGATGCAGTCCTGCTTTTTGTGCCAACTGTGCCAACTGCGGACTGAAAATGCCATCTACGGATAGCCATTCACTCTGCTTGTTATGCCTGGTTGAGGGTCATCATGTTGACAAATGCCCCCATTGCCAGGCATTTACAAAGCAGGCGAGGGAAAACCAAGAATGCCACCTTAAGAAAAGGCTTTGGGGTAGGGCTCTAGCAGCCATGAAAGATGTCGTGATGAAGGGAGTGGCTAAATCTTCAGTCCCTACAGGAACTGAACCCGCAACTCCTCAACCGGCCACAAAGGACTCGGACACTTCAAAACGTTCTGCTCCTTCTCAATCTCCCAAGAAGCATAAAGAAAAAAGAAAACATATGGAGTCAAAAGAATGTAGAAGGTAGAAACACTCACAGAAAGAAAAACCTGAGAAAAAGCAAAGACGTCACTCTCATTCCACTCAGTGCACATCAGAGTTGCCTGTGGCAATGAAACCACCTGCCATGTCCATACTGACTGAAGTTCCAAATCGACCACCATTGATGGGTATGGTTGACTTCAGGACCATCCTCTCGCATTCGGTTGAGCCTGAGACCTCCCCTCATTCCATCTAGGAACCAGACACCACACTTCCTACTTTGATTTCAGAAGGCAAGATACGTGATTCTCCTGCCCATGCACTGGGAGTGTCAGTATCATCAGTACAAAATCTAGATAATCCTCCAATGGATTCTCACTTTCCATGACCTCCAACATCATGCCTCACCAAGCTTGCCACACCACTCCGTTCATGCACTTGAGCCAGAGAGCCACCAGTACAGAAGAAATCCATACTGGATGCCTCTACCATATTCTTACTATGGCCCTGGATATCCATGGAACTACAACACAGCATATGAATACCCATGGCCTCCAGCTTCTCATCAGCCTCAACAACCTCAACAGTAGTGTGACTGACCATCCACTTCAACTCAAGACACAACCACCAGACCACATGCTACTGAGCATGTTCCACCAGTTCAGTCTTCCTTTGAGATGGGCTATGTATTGGACTCAGACTCTTGCTCTGATACTTAAGGGGAGTTTCAACTTTGCCAGAAAAATATGGTCTCAGAATAAGGTCCTGGCTCTCCTGGGGAGAATTTGGGGTGGTTCTCTGAACAGTTTATTCACATGGCCATGTTGTTGGGAATAGATGCTTGGCAAACCACAGAGTCTGAACATGACATGGTTTACAATGTTATTCGTACAGAGGACACAGTCCTGAGCACTCTCCCATTATACCGACATTACACTGAGCGATTCAAGAATTGTGGGAATTGCCTAACCAGCCTCACCCAACCTCACGAGGAAGGCTTGAGAGTATTACAGGGTCAAAGAATAGAACATACTGTTCCTCCTACATCACCCATGACTGAACTCTGTGGTAGTCAAAGCAACACAGGACCAATAAAACAGAGAACATGGCACCCTGACTGATTGTGAAGGCTGCCATATCAACACAATGGCTCATGATGCCAACATGGACAGGTAGCATAGACCAGTCCTCTCTCTACTCCACCATTCCCATTTGGGGATCAACTAAAACATCATCTCCCCATCTGGGAATCCATTACATCTGATTGGTGGGCCCTGTCTATTACAGAACATGGATATAAAATTGCATTTGAAACCCTGCCTCCTCTCGGAATGGTCCATAGAACATCGCCTCTGATTCTCCAAGAAGAGATTAAAACACTGCTTAGTAACGGAGCAATTGATAGAGTTGGCCAATCAGAGAGAAAGCACCATTTCTACTCTAGATATTTCATTGTTCCAAAAAAAAGATGGAGGTCACTGTTCCATCTTATACCTGCGTGGAGTAAACCGCTTCGTAAAGGTGCAGAAATTTAGAATGACTACCTTGCAAAACATATTGCCATTACTACAAAAAGAGGACTGGTTTGCTTCTTTGGACTTAAAATATGCTTATTTTCATATAATCATTCACCCTGCTTACAGGCATTTTCTCCATTTCCAAGTCAGTACAGAAGTGTATGAGTTCAAGG